ATTTGGGGTTTTTGGGGGGAAATTGGGAATTTTGGGGAAAAATGTGAATTTTGGGGAAAATTTGGGGTTTTTTGGGGGGAAATTGGGAATTTTGGGTTAAAAAATGGGAATTTTGGGGGGAAAAACGGGAATTTTGGGGGGAAAATTTGAGGGTTTTTTGGTGAAAAATGGAAATTTTGGGGGAAAAATCAAATTTTTTTGGGAAAATTTGGAATCTTTGGGAAAAAATGTGAATTTTGGGGGAAAATTTGGGGTTTTTTTGGGAAAATTTGGAGTTTTTTTGGGGGGAAATTGGGAATTTTTGGGGGAAAAATGGGAATTTTGGGGAAAAAAATGGGAATTTTGGTTTTTTTTGGGGGAAAACCAGTAATTTTTGGAAAAAACTGGGAATTTTGGGGAAAAAATCGAATTTTTGGGGGGGAAATTGGGAATTTTTTGGGAAAATTTGGGTTTTTTTGGGGGAAAAATGGGAATTTTGGGGTAAGAAATGGGAATTTTTTGGGTAAAAAATGAGAATTTTCAGAAAAAAGGGATTTTGGTGGAAAATTGGGAATTTTTTGGGATAAAAGTGGGATTTTGGGGGAAAAATGGGAATTTTGGGGCAAAAAATGGGAATTTTGGGGTAAAAAATGGGAATTTTTGGGGTAAAAAATGAGAATTTTCAGAAAAAAAGGGGGAATTTGGTGGAAAATTGGGAATTTTTTTGGGAAAAAAGGGGATTTTGGGGGTAAAAATGAGGATTTTGGGGTAAAAAATGTGAATTTTTAGAAAAAGGGGGATTTTGGTTGAAAAATTGGGATTTTTTTGGGGAAAAAAAGGAGAATTTTGGGGGAAAAATGGGAATTTTCTGATAAAAATGGGGATTTTTGGCCCAAAAATTGGGAATTTTGGGGTAAAAAATGAGAATTTTCAGAAAAAAGGGGGAATTTGGTGGAAAATTGGGATTTTTTGGGGAAAAAAGGGGATTTTGGGGGGAAAAATGGGATTTTTTGGGGTAAAAAATGGGAATTTTGAGGTAAAAAATGAGAATTTTCTGAAAAAAAGGGGGAATTTCGTGGAAAATTGGGAATTTTTTGGGGAAAAAAGGGGATTTTGGGGCAAAAAATGGGGATTTTGGGGCAAAAAACGAGAATTTTAAGGTTAAAAATGAGGATTTTGTGGAAAAAACTGGGAATTTTGAAATAACAGGGAGATTTTAGCCCAAAAATCGGGATTTTAATGCCAAAAAAATCCATTTCAGGTGGGAAAAATTGAAATTTTGGGTGTAAAAAGCTGAAATTTTGCCTTAAAAATTCATTTTTTGGGGTAAAAAATGGGGTTTTTTTGGTAAAAAAAGGGTTTTTTCCTGGTAAAAATGTGGATTTTGGGGAATTTTGGGAATTTTGGGGTTTTTTGGTTTCCAGCTCGTCCAGCAGAGGGTCCCTGGCTCAGCTTGGGGCGAGGCTGCTGCTCCTGGGGGGTCCCCAAATGTGGGAACCGATGGAAAAATGGATCCAGGAAGCGGCAAAAGATCCCAAAAAAACGGAGGTGAGAGCTTTAAAAAAAATGGGAATTTGGGGAAAATTTAAATAAAAAAAAAATAACAGAAATTTATTAAATATTAAAAAAAAAATCTGGTGGAAATCTGGAAAAAATCCTCCCTAAAAATGCTCAAAAAATCAAAAAAAAATGAAAAAAAATTCATAAAAAATTCCAAAAAACTGCAAAAAAATTTCTAGAAAAAATCACCAAAAAACTGCAAAAAAATTAAAAAAAATTCCTAAAAAATTCCCAAAAACTCCAAAAAAATTCCTAAAAAAATCACAAAAAAACCTCAAAAAAATTCCTAAGAAAAATGACCAAAAAGCTCAAAAAAAAAATTAAAAAAAATTCCTAAAAAATTCCCAAAAACTCCAAAAAAATCATAAAAAAATCATAAAAAAAGCACCAAAAAATTCCAAAAAAAACCCACCAAAAACTCCAAAAATATTTTAAAAAAATTCCTAAAAAATCCCAAAAAAGCTTCAAAAAAATCCTAAAAAAATCACAAAAAACCGACAAAAAATTCCTAAAAAAAATCACCAAAAACTCCAAAAAAATCCAGAAAAAATTCCAAAAAACTCCAAAAAAAATCATTAAAAAATCATAAAAAAACCACCAAAAAATCCCTCAAAAAATGCCCAAAAAATAAAAAAAAATTTAAAAAAATTCCTAAAAAATTCCAAAAAACTGCAAAAAAATCCTAAAAAAATCACAAAAAAACCACCAAAAAATTACTAAAAAAAATCACCAAAAACTCCAAAAAAATCCTAAAAAAATCACCAAAAAACCACCAAAAAATCCCCCAAAAAATCCCTAAAAAAGTTCAAAAAAATTTTAAAAAAATTCCTAAAAAATCCCCAAAAACTCCAAAAAAATTCCTAAAAAAAATCACAAAAAAACCACCAAAAAATCCCCCCAAAAATGCCAAAAAATCTCCAAAAAAATCCTAAAAAATCACCAAAAAACACCAAAAAATTCCTAAAAAAAATCACCAAAAAATACCTCAATAAAAAAAATCCTAAAAAATTCCAAAAAACTCCAAAAAGATCCGAAAAAAATCACAAAAAAACCACAAAAAAATCCCCCCAAAAATCACCAAAAAAGTCCAAAAAAATTTTAAAAAAATTCCTAAAAAATTCCAAAAAACTCCAAAAAAATTCCTAAAAAAATCATAAAAGAACCACAAAAAAATTCCTAAAAAAAAATCACCAAAAAACTCCAAAAAAATTAAAAAAAATTCCTAAAAAATTCCAGAAAACTGCAAAAAAACTCTAAAAAAATCACAAAAAACCCACAAAAAAAATCCCCCCAAAAATCACAAAAAAACTCCAAAAAAATTAAAAAAAATTCCTAAAAAATTCCAAAAAACCTTCAAAAAAATCCTAAAAAAGTCATTAAAAAAACACCAAAAAATCCCCCAAAAAGTGCCCAAAAAACTCCAAAAAAAATGAAAAAAAATTCCTAAAAAATTCCCAAAAAACTCCAAAAAATCCCTAAAAAAATGCACAAAAAACTCCAAAAAAATTAAAAAAAATTCCTAAAAAATTCCAAAAAACCTTCAAAAAATTCCTAAAAAAATCACAAAAAAACCACCAAAAAATTCCTAAAAAAAATCACCAAAAAACTAAAAAAATCCAGAAAAAATTCCAAAAAACTCCAAAAAAATCCTAAAAAAATCACAAAAAACCGACAAAAAATTCCTAAAAAAAATCCCAAAAAACTCCAAAAATATTTTAAAAAAATTTCTAAAAAATCCCAAAAAACTCCAAAAAAATCCTTAAAAACATCACAAAAAACCCACAAAAAAATTCCTAAAAAAATACCCAAAAAACTCCAAAAAAATTGAAAAAAAAATCCTAAAAAATCCCAAAAAACTCCAAAAAAATACCCAAAAAACTCCAAAAAAATTGAAAAAAAAATCCTAAAAAATCCCAAAAAACTCCAAAAAAATCAAAAAAATTCCCCAAAAAATCACAAAAAAATTCCAAATAATTCTCCAAAAAATCCCCAAAAAATTCCTAAAAAAATCCCAAAAAATCTCCAAAAATCCCCAAAATCCCCAAAAATCCCCAAAATTCTCAAAAATTCCCTCAAATCCCAAAATCCCCCCAAATAATTCCCATTTTCCCTCCTGCAGGCGGCTCTGCGCTTCCTGGGCGTGGCGCTGGGCGTGGCCGGCCCCGCCCTGATCCCAAAATCGCCTCAAAAATCCCAAAAAAATTCCCCAAAAACTTTTAAAAAATCCCAAAAAATCCAAAAAAAATCCCCAAAAATTCACAAAAAATTTCCAAAAAAATTCCAAAAAATTCCTAAAAAAAATCTCCCAATAATTCCTGAAAAATTCCAAAAAATCCCAAAAAATTCCTAAAAAATTCCTAAAAAATCCTTAAAAACTCAAAAAAAAATCCTAAAAAAAACCACAAAAAAATTTCCAAAAAATCCAAAAAAAATTCCTAAAAAGTCTCAGAAAAAATCCAAAAAATTCCTTAAAAAAATCACAAAAAAAATCCAAAAAATTCCCCAAAAAATCCCCAAAAATTCCTAAAAAAATCCCGAAAAACTCAAAAAAAATCCTAAAAAATCCAAAAAAAATCCCAAAAAATCTCCAAAAATCCCCAAAATCCCCAAAAAAATCCCCAAAAATCCCCAAAAAATCAAAAAAATTCCCTCAAATCCCAAAAACCCCCAAAATTCCCCCCAAATAATTCCCATTTTCCCTCCTGCAGGCGGCTCTGCGCTTCCTGGGCGTGGCTCTGGGCGTGGCCGGCCCCGCCCTGATCCCAAAATCTCCTCAAAAATCCCCAAAAAATGCCCCAAAAACCTTCAAAAAATCCCAAAAAATCCCGAAAAAATTCCTAAAAAAATCCAAAAATATCCCAAAAAATTCACAAAAAATTCCCAAAAAAGTCCCAAAAAAATCCTAAAAATTTTTAAAAAATCTCCAAAAAATTCCTAAAAAAATTTCCAAATAATTCCTGAAAAATTCCAAAAAATCCTTAAAAAATCACAAAAAAACCTCCAAAAATTCCTTAAAATATCGCAAAAAAATTCAAAAAAATTCCTCAAAAAAATCCTAAAAAAAATCACAAAAAAATTCCAAAAAATCCAGAAAAAACTCCTAAAAAAATAACAAAAAAAATCCAAAAAATTCCTAAAAAATCCACAAAAAATTCCTAAAAAATCTCAGAAAAAATCCAAAAAATTCCCCAAAAAATCCCCAAAAAATTCCTAAAAAATCCCCAAAAATTCCTAAAAAATCCCAAAAAATTCCAAAAAAAATCCAAAAAAACCTCAAAAAAAATCCTAAAAAAATCCCCAAAAAAATCCCAAAAATCCCCCAAAAAATCCCCAAAAATCCCCAAAAATCCCCAAAAAATCCCCAAAATTCCCAAAAAAATCCCAAAACTTCCCTCAAATCCCAAAATCCCCCCAAATAATTCCCATTTTCCCTCCTGCAGGCGGCTCTGCGCTTCCTGGGCGTGGCGCTGGGCGTGGCCGGCCCCGCCCTTTCCGGCCGAGGCTCC